AATTATCCGAATATTTGTCGGATTATCCGGATACCAATAGTAAATGGATATCCGGATAAATTCAGATATGGATAAATAGATGACGGATTTATCCGGATTGGACCTCTACTTCTATAAGGCTCTGTATTTGATTTAGCTCCTTACCTGTAGGTTATAGAGTTTTTTCTGCCTCTAGCCTGATTTGAACTATAAACCTTGACTTAACTTCTGTGAGATTTGGCAACTTAACAAGTAAGCTATAGGGTCCAAACCCAATAATTATAATATTAAATATTTAGCAAGACAATTAAAATATCTTGAAAGTGTACTGTGCTTTTTTTACTAAAATTCTTTGCAGATATTTGTAAAAATTTTGGTGGGTTAAAAGTTATTTTATCTAATATATATTTACTACTAATAGTATATAAATTCTTAATACTTTAAGCTAAAGTTAATGTGATAATATTGCCCATGGCTTGAAATACAGAGCATTCTTTACAAGAAAATAGATACTATAATTTAGAAGGCTGTACAAATTTTTGCAAGGTAAGTTGTAATCTTATTTGTAGCTATATTTATCATTTTGAATACTTTTTGCTTAAATTAGGAAGCCAATACTGATATTGTGTTGATTACTTTATAAGTATAATTGAGAAAAATTGCAAAGCTTTTCAAAAAACTCTAAAATCTGATAAGAAAAAAAAGACAAGAGTATAGCCAAGTCAAAAGCCAATGAAGCCAATGAAGCTAGTAGTAGTGTTAGTAATAATACTCGAAATTTTATTTTAGATGAAAATATAGATTATAGCAATATAAATTTGCTCATTGAGAGGGCTATTAATTCTTTGACAAGTGCACAAATTTAAAGAGTTTTATTATAGATAATAGGATATAGATTTTATATTTTATTATTTGTATGCAATACAAGTTTTTTTAAAATAAAATATAGATAGTTTATATAATAAATTATTATACTTATTTATTTATTTATTTTTGAAATTGATTAAATATATTAAATATTTTTTAAATATCTCCTTGATTTTAAATTATATTTTATTATTTTATTTATTTATTATACAATATTATAGTCTATAATTTTTTTTCCTATTCAACAGCAGTAAAGTTGTAAATTTTTTTTATTTTTCGCTTATATACTCATTGAATTAAAGGAGAATAAAAAAATCTTTATATATAATAAACAATATACAGTATATTATATTCACAAATTTTTTCTTTATTGTTATTATATTATATTTTTAATACCTATCTTCTATTGTTAATACTCTATATTCTAAAACTTACCAAGTCTTTGAGCCAACATGTACTACCCTATGCACTAAAGGTAAGAAATTTAAATATTAATAATTCATATTTCTATTACTACCAAAAAATTTTTTGTCTTATGCATTATTTATTTAAACCTACTTTTACTTTTTCTTGTTTATATATTTGATTCTATAGAAAAAATTGTGCTTAACTAGTTTTTAAAAACCCACTGACAATGAAGACTGCATTCAACTATAAGATTGCACTGTTATAAGAGGTTAGGTATCTTTAAAAGTGAAAAAAAAATATTTAAATAGTATTTAAAAACTAAAAAGATAAAATTCTTAATTGTTAATAAAAAATGAAACAAATAAAAGACTTTTTATCTAACTTCAAAATTACTTTACAGATTACTAAATTATTTTGGTAGTCTATAAAATAGAACTAGTACTTTTAGATTTTTTTTATCTCACTCTCTGCAAATTTGTATTCATAGCTATAAATTCATTTTTGTAATTGCAAAATGTTATGCTAATATAAGAGATATATTGTATAATATTTTAATCAATCATTCAAACAAATTAAAGTCTGCTATACTTATAGTAGCTATAAAAATAAAATTTTTTAGATCTATATACTCAATGCCAAGTTGATCTATTGCTTTAATCATTGCAGAAATATTATTAGTTGATATACCAAAAAGTTTATTATATATTCTCTAATTGTTAAAAAGTTGTTTGTAGAAATCTTCGATTTGATTACCAGTATGTGGATAATCAAACTTTTAAATTATAAGAAGGGCTTGGTATAAAAAAAATTCTAGACTAATCTAATAAATAGTTATATCAATATAAAGTTGATGTGCTTGAGACTACAGGTCTGTTATAAAACAGAAAGAATTTATTGTTGTTTGTAATAAATCTTTAAGCTATCATTCAGCAAATAATATTAATATATTAATTTTTTTTTTAGTTGATTATAATATAAAAACTTGAATCTTAACTTATACTCAAGAATAAGATTTTGTCTTCTGAAAAAAGCAATAGAAATTTATTAGTCAAAATTATTTCAAACTAGTTATCATTAGATAATTTTATGAATAAAAAAACATCTCTACTTTTTTTAAAACAAGAAAAAATTACTAACTATATTTTAGCTTAAATCATAGATAATCTTCAACCTTTTAATATCACTACTAATAACTACTTTTAAAATTCTATGAATTTGGCAAAGATAACTTTTAAATTTTTTGTTCATGTTATTAATTTATAATTATGTTTGTAGAGTTCTTTATTACTATCATTATTTGTAACTTTAACTTAGCAATATATCTTTTTGTTAGACTGGTCTTGTTTAAAATAAAGCCATACCCAACTTTTTTCTCTTGGTTTAGTATGAATAAAAACTTTTTTTTTGAACTTATTTATCTAAACTATTTGTAATAGTGATGCTAATATTTTGTGATGTAGATTGATTTAATATGCTTAAATTGAATTCAAAATCTGAGTTATGTAAATTTTCTGCCATACCCAATACATCTAACTCAAACTTATCTTCATTAAACTAGAATATAGAATCATTATTACAGAAAATTTTGATATAGAAAGGTTGTACATATAATCCTTAATACGATATACAAAATAGTATTAACAACTCTAAAGTGGCCTTGAGATTTGGTTAAGAGAGTAACACAACTATATTTGAATTTGAAGTAGTAAGAAAAGTGGTGAATACAAAGAGATCTGTAATAAAGAATTGGCTTTACTAGATTAGAAACACCTCTGGTATATACTATTTGCTTAATTTAGAAAAAAATGAATTTTTATAGAGAGTTGGCTGAAACTTGAGGTATGTGTAAAAATCTGAAATGGCTAGAAGTACTAGGCTAGTGGTGTAGCAATATATGAACAAGAAAAGAATACTAGCAAATTTGAATACTAAGCAACTAATTTAGAAGTGTTATAGTATGCAAGTCCCAATTAGGTTTATACTTCTAATATCTCATAATCTAAAATATTAGAGAATAGAAATACCAAATATATCTAAGAGAAATCTTAGAACAATTTAAAAGAACTATTTTATAAAAGCTATCATTAGAAGTGGAGGCACAGCTTCTACAATTATAACAAATTTCTACTAATACATAGAAGTACCTGTTATCAAGAATTGGCAATGCATATATATAATATACATACAGTATAATATTAAGAAACTGGGGCTATACTAGGTACAAGAAATTAGATATAGCATTGTTATAGCCTTGGTTTAACTAAGTTTAGAAGTAACTATAAGATTACAAGGCTATTTCTTGAGAGAGTATTAATTTTGAGAATTATATATAGTAAGTATAAAAGAAGTGAGGAATATAAGATGTAGTAATGAGTATAAATTAGAATATACAGTCTTCCCTCTTTATAATCACACTGTTGGGATCATAGTAACTTTTTTTAAAAAATGTGCTTATATATATATATAGTATTGTGCTTATATATATAGAGGTTTTTTTTCTATATGTTTATAATAGTTGGTTTTAAAATAAATATGTTTATAAAGAGGTTTTTATATGATGT